GTCTCGTGCGACAGGAGGCGACACGAACAGGGGGCAGACTCAGGACCAGACCTGGACGCTGCAGCAAACACCTGACCCGACGCAGCTACCTGACCAGACGCAGTGACTGGAGGAGACGCAGTGGTCAGTGTGTATAGGCTCGACCCCGGCCGACGTGTAAACGTGGCCAGGTGTCGGCCTGTCCGAGCGTCCGTGCAGTGGGTCACCCGCTGACTCGCAGGAGTGAACTGGTGAACCCCCGCATCCTGTAGGTCAGCACCACTCACCAAGTTCGTAGAGAACGAGGGGAGGTAAAGACCAGACAGGGTGCCAGAGGGGGCCGTCGGACACGGGAGGACAGTGGAGAAGTGAGCAAGGACAGGACCCCCAGAGGGGTCTGCCAGAGAGACTGCAACTGGCCGGCCAAGCGGCGTGAGTGTGGTGCGGTCTCGAAAGAAGGAGCGAGAAGCCCCCGAGTCAAGGGTGAAGGTGTGGGAGGCCGAAGCCGACGCAGTACCTGAGAGAGCAGACTCACCAGCACCTGAGGGAGCAGACGCACGAGCACCTAGAGCAGCAGCCTCGCTAGCACCTAGAGCAGCAGCCTCACCAGTACCTAGAGCAGCAGTCTCAATGCCCGGGTCGGGCGGAAAACACCGGTAACAGTCACCCTCATCACTAATAGTCACAGCATACATGGCAGCAAGAATAGCATCAAAGTCAAGGTCAAAGACAGCTACACCCGCCCTAGACAGCTCGCCCCAGCGGGGGATCTCAGTGGCCTCAGGGAACTGGTGACACCAAGCGTCCGTCAGGCGGCCAAAGCAGCGCTGGGTGGAGTGCGCACCCCCGCACTGCTCACCCGCGCGGTCGCCGGTGCGTAGGACGTAGGTGCACGGACCAGTACCCCCACCCCGCTGGCGTGCAGCGTACCACTCACGGAGCTGCTGAGGGGGGGGGGATGTCACGAGTGCGCTGCTGCCGCTGCTGCTGCTGCTGCTGCTGGCGCTGACCACCACCGGAGCCGACCCTCTGCCCAGCGCCACCCCGACCAGCTCCACCTCCTCCGCCGCCGCCTCCTCCACCGCCGCCACCTCCGCCACCTCCGCTCCCACCGCCACCGCCGCCGCCGCCTCCGCCTCCACTGCCGCCACCGACACCTCCACCCCCGCCACCACTCCCACCACCACCCCCACCCCCTCCACTGCCGCCACCGCCACCTCCGCCACCCCCGCCAGCCCCTCCAGCACCCTTGCCCCCCTTGCCCTTGCCGGTGCGGCGTCTCCCGCTCGGGGCAGACGCAGCGCCGACCGACTCGAGACCAACGAGGTCGGCCGCAGCAGCAGAGGCAACAGAGGGCAAAAGGGGGGAGGGGGAACACCCCTCAAAGACGGGGGTGCGAGGGTCACCACGAGAGGCTCCTACAGCGACTATGCTCTTCTCTACTGCTAGGAGGGCCTTCTCGAGGAGGTCAACGGTGAGAGTGGTGGGGCAAACTGAGAGGAAGTGGTCCCTGACTACGCGAAGGGAGTCAGGGAGCCGGGTGACTATGTAGTAGAGGGTGATGTACATGGGGGGGGGGTTCTTGGCGCAGAACTCAGCAGGAAGCGCAGCGCGGTAGCGAGTGTCACTAGTGCGGAGGTGCGTAATGAGGTCAGCGACTGTGGGAAAGGCAGCAAGGTCAGGGAAGAGGTACGGTAGCATGAGGCGGCTCAGTGCAGCAGTGGCAGGGGAGGAGTAGCGCGCAACTACAGCGTCGTACAAGGTGTGAGCACTCTTGTACTGGCTAAAGTGCGCACGCTCAGAGGTAGGCAGGTGGCGACGCACAGCTAGACGTGCAGCAACATCGCGTGTGGCCCACTGTGAGCGAACAGTGGCGTCGGCATCAGCAGCAGGGGCAGGAGAGGCACCAGAGGTGAGGTCAAAGAGGGAGAGACCGTCTGCCCTATCGCACTGTAAGAAAAGCTGCAGGTCATCTACCCAGACGTCAAAGTCAATGGCCCGACCCTCAGCGTCAAAGGCGAGGACACTAGGGGTAGCCATGACAGCAGTAGACTAGCAGTGCGAACAGTAGGGTAAGGGCAGTGCAGTGATAGAGGCGCTGCTCTTACCGGACAGGGCGGCTCGGGCGGCTCGGCGGCTCGGCGGCTCGGCAGGACGGCGGCTCGGGCGACTCGGCGGCTCGGGCGGCTCGGGCGGCTCGGCAACTCGGCGGCCCGGGCGGTTCGGCGGTCGGCTGCTGGGCGGCTCGGCGGCTCGGCGGCTCGGCTGCTCGGCTGCAGGACGGCTCGGCGGCTCGGGTGCTCGGCTGCTGGGCGGCTCGGCAGCTGGTGTGGTTGGTGACGACCGCGGCAGCAGTCGCAGAAGCTGTGGCGACTGCTGCTGCAGAGACGGCTGCGGCTGCTGCCTCAGGGACGGCGGCTGCCGGCCGCTAGGGGCCGCGAAGAGCGGCGGAGAGGCCGTGAAGGGCGCCACGAGGGGCCGTCGAGGGCGGCGACAGGCCGTGAGGAGGCCGCGGAAGGCGGCTCGAGGGGCCGCGAGGGGGCCGTAAGGGGCCGACTGGCGACGGGAAGGGCCGAAGGGGCCGCGGGAGGGCCCGTAAGGGTAGCGCGAGGGGCCGTAAGGGCGGCACGAGGGGCCGTAAGGGCGGCACGAGGGGCCGTGAGGGCGGCGCGACGGGCGCGACGGGCCGTAAGGGCGGCACGACGGGCCGTAAGGGCGGCACGAGGGGCCGTGAGGGCGGCGCGACGGGCGCGACGGGCCGTAAGGGTGGCGCGACGGGCCGTAAGGGCGGTGCGACGAGCCGTAAGGGCGGCGCTAGGGAGCCGTGAGAGGGCCGCTAAGGGCGACGCGTGTTGGTGCAACCCTACGGTTTGCACTCGGCTTGTTGTCCGTGTGCGTGAATGTGTGTGTGTATGGAATGGTATGAGGGCATGGGATAATATATATTTCATGCTTATAATTGTGTGTGAATGTTGAGTCATGATGTCGAGTGTGTGTGTCGAGTCAATAGCGAGTTATCGCTAGACGCGTGTTACGCGGTCGTTTGTGTCTCGCGCGCGGTTTCTATTTTGTCGTGCGCGGTTTCTATTTTGTCCTGTGTCGAACGTTCGGCGTGTCGCAGGTGTGTGCAGCAGACCCATCAAGAACTCAAGGATGAGTTTGTGATGAAGATCCCGAGCCTTGGTGTCAAGCCTCAAGTGATTTCGAAGCTCGCCAAAAGGGTACACCTCAAGATATTGAAGATAGTTACATTACTTTGTGTAGTGTAACATTTCACTTGGTGTAGGCCCTAGTGAAGGGTAGTTTCGAGACCCTTCGTGGTTGGGGACAGTGTGGCACTGTTCCACATCACTGTACCTCGGCTCTTGGGGTTTGTAGGAGCTGGGAGTCATTCCCAACTCGTAACTCTTCCCAACTCTTCCTATCTTGTGTTCTAAGACTATAGCGGCTGCCATAGTACCGCTCGTTCAAACCGACGCTGTGTCGTCAATTCTTTATCAAATCGTGCAATCTAAATTGCTAATTGTAGACGACGTGAAGACGCTCCAGATCCAATTTGAATCAAGTCATTTGCAGCTGTGAGCAGAACGCTATCAACGTTTGAAGCCGCTGTGCAGAAATCCGTCTGTGCTCTCTATCTTTCGTTTTAGGCACATTCAAGCCTATTGTGACTATAACAACGCGACGGGGCCGTGAGGGCCCTAGCGAGGGCGCGACGGTAGGGAGAGCACACAGGGCGCGACTCGGGCCGGAGCGAAGCGCGCTCCGGGCAGGAAAAAAAAATTTCGTGGTGGTGGGCCCTAGGAATCGTTCCCACTAGGGAACCTGCTCGATACCATGAGAAGAAACGAGGAATGGATTGACTAAGGGAAAGTTGGGTACAAATGTGAACCCTAGAAAATTGTACCCCATATGGGCTACCCCACTATAGCCTACAGTAGCTATGTCATATAAATCTGACATGTATCATTATATTCATTCATATATTATAATATTCATTTAAGCACAAGTGTATAATTTATAACATATATGCATTTCACGACAGTCACGTAATTACCATTATACCATCCAACATACAAAAATATGTCGTAGTGCGAACAAAAAAATCACTACCATCACATCACAATTGAATGTAGACAATACTTACTGTTCATGTAGCTAGCAACTAGTGCATCCCACCTGCCAGCTGGAGCGCTGTGATGCAGTGTTTCGGAAAACGTCCTTCGAACCTAAGCGGGTGGTTGGGAAGATCGGAGCCAACTTCATGCGGCATGTTCGGATCTACAGTGAAGGGTTGCGCACTACTGGTAACCAGCGAAGAGATAAGGGTAATGGGAGGTGGCAACACTTGTCATTGGGGGAAGAGAAGGCTCTGGAACGAGTTTGCGGGGGCGGGGAGATGATGACGTGGAGCGAGGAGTTCAAGTCCATCTGGGAGAGACCTACGGTAGTACTTTTTTTAAGCCACCGTAAGGTGGCACAGGGGGACCACGGTAGGTTAAAATAGGCATGCTTGTGTTTCTCCTGCTCTCATCAGTTACGACTGTGGGTGTATGCATTGAATAGTGTATTACATCCCAAAAAAAAAAAAAAAAAAAAAAAGCATCCCGCTTGCCTTCAAGGCTCGTTACGTGGCACGAGGCTTCAGTCAGCGACAGGGAGTTGACTTCTTCCAGACCTTCTCCCCTACCCCGAAGATGACCACTCTTCGGGTACCGTATTCTCCCGGACAAAACACCCCCCCATAATAGTACTCCCCCGGGTAGCTTGTGCGGGGGGGGTGCTATAGCCGACCTCGTTTGTACTATACCCCCCCTTTTGGGGTGATTCTCTATAAGACCCGGGGGGAGGGTGTTATGGGTGGCAAAATTGCATATTTGTCTTAAATTTCACACAGTTAGGGGTGCAATCTAATACAGAAACGTAGCACCACCACCTAGACCCATCAGTTACTCATAAACAACAGAAACATCACCACATACGGTAGTTAAAACTAGGCACAACATTGCTTCTGGAGCTATCTAGTCCTCATCGTCCCCAGCAACCCATTCCTCACACTCCTCGCCGTCATAGCGGCCGGCATGCCACCACTCCTCATCATCCTCGTTGTACACTCCCGCCTCCTCGCCTTCTTCAGGCGTGTTCCACTCCTCCTCTTCCGCCGCCGCCGCCGCCTCCGCCTCCTCCTGTGCGGCCACATCCTCCTCTGCCGGCTGGAGCTCCTCGGCCGGCACGGGGGCCTCGGCGTAGAAGGGGTTGACGGCGAGCTCGTCGTCAACCAGCTCGTTAACGTCGTCAAGCACCTCCACCTCACCCTTGTCCCGCATGTGGACAAGGATGAGGTGGTCCTCGCTGCCATCTATGGCGGTGGAGATCCCGCAGGTGACGAACGGTTTCTTCACAAGATCCTCTGGGACAGCTTCCCAGGACTCGTCGATCCAGCGGAGAACCAAGTCTGCAGGCGGCTTCTTCAGGTTGCCTGTGGGAAGGGAAGGGAAGGGTAGGGAAGGGAAGGGAAGGGAAGGGTTTCAAGAGCGTGTACTTGCAGTGCGTGCGCTGACGTTAGAGAGATGCTGCTCAAACGGAATTCATGGCGTCAACTCACCCGCGCGAGTGGTTTGGTTGATGCCGTCATCCTCGAACCATGTGCTGTAGCGGGAGCGCACCCCGCACTTGAACGCGCGATTAACCGACACATCCAGCGGCTGCACAAGCGGTGTGCAGCCTCCCGGGATGACTACCCTTGACAAACGAAACATGCGCATCGTCTGACCGACGGCCTCCGTCAAGTGGCCGCGGTAGGAGTCGAGCACCACCATCGCCTCCATGCGGCGGCCGGTGGTTTCCCGCAGGGGCTTCAGAAACGGCACCAACACTTGGGTGATCCAATCTTGCACCAGAGACTCGTCCATCCACCCCTTCTCTTGTGCACGGACCACCACACCTGCCATCAGCACAACGCGAGAGTCGTGTTTAGTTGCGACGCGTGACAGGCAAGAGCACGGTGAAAATCATAGATGTGGTGCACTCACCGGCAGGGATGGGCACTTTCGGGATGGTCTTGCGCTTGAACACGACGTACGGAGGTAGTTTGAGCCCACTCGCCGTTACTGCCAGCATGACAGTAACACGCTCCTTCTCGTAGCCTGCACTGCGTACGTGAACCGTACACGCTCCCTTCATTTCGATCGTGCGCTCCGCCGGCATCTCCAGGAAGAGCGGAGTCTGGTCCGCGTTCACGATGAGGTCGAGTGGGTAGTCGTGCAGAGTGCGCATCTGGCGCACAAACTCCCAAAATGACTCCACCTTGGCCTTGCAATCTGCAAACAAAGCCACGGCACGCGTAAGGTAAACGTCGACCTCGTAATTACAGGCGCACTGTTGCTTTACTTACCGGCCGCCAACTTCTGCCCCATCTTTGTCTTCACCCGCCTTGCCAAGTGCCAGCGCGCGCGAAAACGCGCCGCCCAGCGGAACGAGGCGCGCCAGTTCACCGAGGGCATGCGGTGCTTCATGTACTTGGAGCTCCACTTCTGGAGCATGCGGACCGAAACGGCGAGGCCCTTCGCCCGGTGGTTAAGGAAGTGGCGGTAGACCGCCCGTTCCATGAACGGGTACTTCGCCTTGCGGCCAGATCCCATGAGGCGACGGCGGCAGCTAGATGCGACCTCCAGCCGCTCCTTCATCTTCCTCCATTCGCGGATCTGGCAGGGCTGCACCTTCGCGAGCTTCGCCAACGCGCGATTCTCCAGGTCGGGCTGAGAGTCCTGCATCTTCAACCAGTGCAGCTTCTCCTTCACGGTGATCGCCTTACGGACCTTCTTCGTCATGCGATGGCGAGGGGATGGTGGCTGAGCGTCCGCGTTGCGCTTCAGCTGACCCTGCGGGCGCTTACGCTCCGGGAAAGTGGGGATCGTCACTCGAGGAAGAGGAGAACGAGCAGCTTCGGAGCTACTACTCGGTCCATCCTGTCAGAACTAGCAGTAGAAAGTAAGAATGAAGAAAGGAAGAGGTTCACTAGCAAGCCGTTGAGTACATATAGGAAACCCTAGATTGGGCTGTACTCGCTATAGAGTACCCCACTGCAGGCTAGACAAATACAACATTCTGACACACCCCCATAGCCAAAGTGGGGTGTAATCAGCACAATGAGCAGGTATAGCAGGAGTTCACAATAAGAAGCAAAGCTAGAGGTAATCACAGCGGGCAAGTGAGGAGGAGGAGGGACTGTGAGAGGAGAGAAGATGAGAGACGGCGGCTGAAGCTGCAGACACACGGGCAACAGGAGCTGCTGGCACAGTGGCTACCGGGACAGTGCGCCCCGGACTACTGGAGTAACTGGCTCACGGGCTACGACGAGCTACAGGAGCAACGGACCCTCGGGCGACAGGCGCAGCAGACTCTCTGGGCTACCAGGACAGTGCGCCCCGGACTACAAGTGCTGCGGACGACAAGACAGCAGCCTCCGCTCAACCTCCTCCAACTGTCCCACACACCCCCCACACACCCACTGCTTCACTCCTAACTCCACTTGCACGTCACCCCCCTAGTACTACTCCTTCGGCTCCCACACACCCACCCCCCTCAGCGGCAGCTGCAGCACTGGGAGACGGAGGAGGAGGAGGAGTAGGGGACGACGCACAGAAACTGCACCCCCATACCCCCCACCCCCAAACCCTAATTCAGGAGAACGGGCAGCAGCAGGGGTGGGGCGCCGTCAGAAGCACGGGGGACAGCGGGCAGCGCAGGGGCAGAGAAAACAGGGCGCCCACGGGCCTGGCGCAGCCCGTACGAACCGCGTGCGGGCGGCCCGAGGCGCGCCCTGGCCTGGCGCAGTCCGTACGGGCCGCGCGCGGGCCTGGCGCTGCCCGTACGGGCCGCGCGCGGGCCTGGCGCAGCCCGTACGGGCCGCGCGCGGGCCTGGCGCAGCCCGTACGGGCCGCGCGCAGGCTGTACGGGCCGCGCACGGGCCCTACGCAGGTCGCGCAGGCCGCGACGGGCGACGGGGGGCGACGCGCGGGTCCCCGTCGCCCGTCGCAGCGCCTCCCAGGAGCGACGCGCGGAGTGACGGGGCAGAAAGCCGCCGCGCGCCTCGGGGCGCACGGCGGGCAGAAAACCGCCGCGCGCCTCGGGGCGCACGGCGGGCAGAAAACCGCCGCACGCTCCGAGCGCGCGGCGGGATGAAAAATCCGTCGCACGCCACGGGGCGTGCAACACACAGAGTAGCAGTAGCAGCGGAAGCAGTGAGGTGGTGGGCCCACCCACAGGATCGACCCAAGGGGATCGACCTGCTCTGATAGCATGTCAGAACTAGCAGTAGAAAGTAAGAATGAAGAAAGGAGGAGGTTCACTAGCAAGCAGTTGAGTACATATAGGAAACCCTAGATTGGGCTGTACTCGCTATAGAGTACCCCACTGCAGGCTAGACAAATACAACATTCTGACACATCCCCGGCAGAAGCACTAACGGGAGGGGACGGTTGGGGCAAGACGGGGCGAGGCGACGTCCGTGCGCGTGCAGCAGCGGTAGAAGGAGTGTTGCATGGCCGCTGGCGCCTAACTACTATACTGCTGGAATCGGGAGAGGAAGCCATACTCTACTGCAGATTGTTGTCATTCGCCATGGAAGGAAGGCCTATAAACAAAGACCTGTCTAGTGTAGGATGGAGGCGCTCTCACAGCCTGCCGAGCAGTGTTGAGTTATCGTGCACTGGAACCGCTGTTAGAGGAGAAGGTGGGACCAATTTGAGGCACAGGGACGTGACCCTACCAGTCAAGACGTGACTGAGACAGGGACTGCACAGCACCGTGCGCGATTCCGGCCCCAGTGGTTGCATGAACCCTCGCTGCGCAAGGCTGGCTCTGTTTTCACCCATCAGGCGCCAGAGTTGGCCATTGGAATTTGCCATGTGGCAAATTCCAGTGGGGGGTGACGTTATCATCGGATACTCGGTTTTGCGGCTCTGACCAACAATCTAACAGTGAAGGCACTGAACCTGATTTTGTTTCACAGCGTTTCTGCTTAAAAAAGACATACCATATAATAAGACGCGGGTATTATATAGGATTTTCCGTTGAGAGGACCCCCCCCCTTTTTTCCCTGTGGTTATCATAATACCCCCGGGTGTTATGTCCGGGAGAATACAGTACTGCTGCACGTCGCTGCTCAGCGTGACTACGAGCTTCACTCTCTTGACTTCAGCACAGCTTTCTTACAGGGCAGCCTGCATGAGGAGATCCGGCTGCGCCGCCCCTGCAGCCCGCGCGCCGCCCCTGCGCGCCAGCACGCTCCGTTGCCCAGCGCGCCAGCGCGCCCCGCTGCCCAGCGCGCCAGCGCGCCCTGCAGCCCAGCGCCCACCGCGCCCTGCTAAACCCTAAAAAAAAATTAAAAATAAAAATAAAAAAAAGAGCTCTTGGTGCCGCCCCTGCCTTGCCGCGCGCGCTGCTCGCTGCCGCGCGCCCTGCCCTACCTGCGCGCCGCTCGCCGCCGCGTCGCACTACCCGTGCGCCGCTCGCCGCCGCGTCGCACTACCCGTGCGCCGCTCGCCGCCGCGCCACCCTGCCCTTCCCTGACCGTGCACCGCCCCGACCTACCCTAGTGCCTGCTCGCCGCCCTGCCTTCCCTGCGTGCTGCGTGCTGCCCTGTCCTTCCTTTGCCCGCTATGACATCTCTTCGTGGTAGCTGTGGGAGTGGTGGCGGCGGTGGTGGCAGCAGTGGGAGTGGTGGCGGCGGCCGTAGTGGTAGTCTCGGTGGAGCTGTTCGGTGGGGAGTTTCTGGAGGTGGCCAGCTGCAGCTCTAGCGGCGTCCGCGCGAGACCCTCACGACCCAGCAGCTTCGTGAGTGGTACGCTAGTTGGGTAGTGGCGGCGGCCGTAGTAGCAGTCGCCGTGGAGCTGTTCAGAGGGGAGTTTCTGGCCTTGGCCAGATGCAGCTGCAGCGGCGTCCGCGCGAGACCCTTACGCCCCAGCAGCTTCGTGAGTGGTTCGCTCAGCGTGGGGTGTCTCGGAGTAGTGCTCCCTGCCCGTATGTCATTCACACAGGTGATCGGGCCGGTCAGACTTGCGAGACTCTTGTTTGAGCGACACCTGCGTGCAGAGTTTGGCGACGCGGCTGAGCTCCCCCGCTGGCTAGAGCTGCTTAGGCAGGGTGTGGATATCTTTGCACTAGATTATGACGCTATCCTCACTGCCATGTATGCTTTGACTATTAGAACTCAGGGTGACTATTACCTGTGTATGCCGCCAGACCCTGGTATAGAGGCTGCTGCTCTAGGTGCTGGTGCATCTGCTCTAGGTGCTGGTGAGTCTGCTCTAGGTGCTGGCGAGTCTGCTCTCTCTAGTACTGCGCCTGCTGAGGCCTTGCACACCTTCACGCTTGAATCAGGTGCTTCCCGCTGCTTCTTTCGCGACAGCACCACAGTCACACCACTCGCAGCACCGGTTGCAGTCTCTCTAGCTGACCCCTCTGGGGGACCAGTTCTTGCACGTTCCTCCACAGTTCTCCTGTGTCTGGCGGTTTCGTCGGGCTCACTGTCAGGTCTTCACCTCCCCTCGTTCTCTACGAACTTGGTGAGTAACGCCATCCTTCAGGATGCTTGGGTTGATACCTTTACCCCTGGAGGACAGCGTGTGGCAATCTGTACGTATGCACGGACGGGCCGTCACCTGGCCACGTTCACCCGTCGGCCTGGGTCGAGCCTGTACACACTGACTACTGAGCCTCCTCAGGTAGCTGCGTCTGCGTCTGCATCTGCGTCAGGTCAGCTTGCAGCCCCTTACTCGTGTCGCGCCCTGTCGCACCAGACTCTCCTGTGGCACCACTGCCTTGGTCACCCCTCCCTGCCACGCCTCCGTGGCATGCACTCCCGTCTCCTTGTCTCTGGTCTTCCCAGGTCTCTGCCTCCCCTCCCACCCTCGCCTGCCCCTCCCTGCCTTCCCTGTGTCGAGGAGCGGCAGCGCGCCGCTCCTCACTCCTCCTCGTTTCCCCTGACGACTGCTCCCCTGCAGACCTTTCACATGGACGTGTGGGGCCCAGCCTGCGTCCGTGGACAGGGCCGCGAGCGATACTTTCTGCTGGTTGTTGACGACTACTCGCGTTACACCACGGTCTTCCCCTTGCGCAGCAAGGGGGAGGTCCCTGATGTTTTGATCCCTTGGATCCGCGTTGTCTGTCTCCAGCTCCGCGAGCGGTTCGACACGGACCTTTCGGTCCTGCGTCTGCACTCTGAAAGAGGTGTTGAGTTTGCCTCCGACCTCTTGCGGGACTTTTGTTGTGGGGAGGGCATCACCCACTCGTTCACACTTCCGGTCTCTCCACAGCAGAATGGGGTTGCTGAGCGCCGCATTGGCTTAGTCATGGAGGTCGCTCTTACCTCCACGATCCATGCAGCTGCCCCCCATTTTCTGTGGCCGTTTGCGGTCCGGTACGCTGCGCACCAGCTCAACCTCTAGCACCATGTCTCCTTGCCGGAGACCTCACCGACACTGTGTTGGACGGGAGAGGTTGGCGATGCATCGGTGTTTCGGGTCTGGGGATCTCGTGCCTTTGTCCGCGATACCTCCGCGGACAAGCTCTCCTCCCGCGCCATTCCCTGTGTCTTCCTTGGTTTTCCCCTTGACGCGCCTGGCTGGCAGTTTTACCACCCCACCTCGCGTTGTGTCCTGCCCTCTCAGGACATCACGTTTGACGAGTCGGTTCCCCTTTACCATCTCTTCCCCTACCGCACTGCCCCTCTCCCCCCGCCGCTCTTCCTCGCACCAGGTCCTCCTCCGGTAGACCCCCTCCCCCCTCAGGGTCCTACTCCCTCAGGTGTGTCCCAGGTAGACCCTGT